ACCGCTTTGCCTCCATGGCTGTGTCGTCTCTGCAGCTGTGTTGTTTCCGCTGAAGACGCTCTCTCCACTGAAGACGCTCTGCAGTTGACGTGGTCGCCCTACCGGAGCTCGTTTTCTGCACTGTGTTGCCCGCTACAGAGCTGCTCATGCGCAACAGCATTCAGTGTGGTCCGGTGTGTTAGGATTTGGTTATAAATACTCACTTTAGCATAGTATGCTATCAAATGATCTATGTAGATAACTGATTGTTTGATTTCTTTTATAACTATATGAAGTCTCTGGCTGTAACCACAGATTCTCTTTGCTCTCTCTTTTCTTTCTCTGTTGCATTAGATCCACGTCTTTAAGTCGACACATACACACACCATTTGGTACCACATTCCAATGTCATCAACATGAATTTACGATCCGGCTTGTTAGTCTTAGAGGTAACTAACCAATAGGACTTGGTTGTGTCCAGTCCTCCTTTTGAGGGGTGTGCCTAGCCAAGGAGACAAAGACCCATCACACCCAGATCTCAGAGCTCTTTGCCGACTGAGACCCTGAGAGAGAGGTTTCCTCTGTGAAGAGCCCAGCGCTGAAATACTTTACCTGTGACCCAATAAATGTCATTTTTTACTCTTGATCTACTCTGGTTTATTCTCAGGTTTCCAACTAAAGAATCGGGTTAACAGGTGCATTGCAGCCGCCGCTGCCTGATGTTGACGGCTCATACCATGCCCCAGAACAATTATTTGGACTTTGACCAAGAATTTGTGTTTTATTATGAATGTTAGGATTATTTTGTTATTTTAGGACTAAAGTGGGCAGTCCCTGATTCTGTTAATGTTTGATTTTGTGGTATTGTTCCTAATTGATTTGCCCACTAATTTGTTTATCCCTTTTCTCCTCTAGTTGCTGGAGACTGGTGGTGCTCGGATGGCGGTGTCCTCCCTTTTCTCTGTTTGCTGTGTCCTGGGAGCGGTCTTCACTTGAGTGCCACCTATGCCGGGTGTTATTATGGTGATTCCTTTATTTTTGGGTGGACCTCTTCCCCCCCAGCCCTTGTCCACCCAGTCAGCTCCAGTCTTTTCCATTTGAATGACTGTTTTTAAATCGTGAACATTTATTTTCATTTTTAAAACCACGTCTCTTGCTTTTGAGCAAACCTTACCTGCCAAATTAATTCCCTGGGTGAAATTCCCAGGGTGATGTAGTTGGTTTCTTTTCTTTAATTTGGCTGTTTAGATAATAAGGGTCAATTTATTTTGTTCACCTTACCATCGCCACACTAACATTAAGGACGCATACAGTACATCTCCTCTTCTCTCCCCCCTCTGGGCAGGTCAGATCCCAAGCTGGTCCACCTCAAACCCTGCTATGTGCCTCTGGTGAAAAATATGCCTACAACCACAAGAACTGTGAGGAGGTGGTTGGAGGAGGCTTATTAGTCACTGCAGGCCTGCTTTGATGTGACAGACTGGCCTGCACTCTGTGAACCCGACAGGGAGTATATCGATGGGCTCAGAGAGTGCTTCACGGACTACATCATCTTCTGTGTGGAATGAAATGTCCCAGCTCGGACTCTCACCTGTTACGCCAAAAACAAACCATGGATCACCAAGGACATTAAGGCCATCCTGAATGACAAAAAGAGGGCGTTCAGAGATGGCAACCTTGATGAGGTGAGGAGAGTGTAGGGGGTACTCAAACTTAAAATTAAGGAGGCTAAGGACAAGTACAGGAGAAAGCTGGAAAATAAACTCTAGCAAAACAACATGAGGGATGTGTGGAGTGGCATGAGAACCATCACCGGGTTCCAGAAGACTTGTGGCATGGGGTTGGAAGGCCGGGTGGACCGGGCCAATGAATTGAACCTATTTTTTTTTTTT